AATGAAACTAATTAAGGAAATGTCAAACATAATTAATAAAACAGGTTTAAGCTGCAAAACATTGTCAATTGAATGAATGAGGAGGCATTGGCTCCCATTGTTCAGGCTTTATTTAGGTCTTGTGTTTAGCTTGTTCCCTGCTCCAGAATGCTCTCTCCCCTCCTCACTCCCTCCGCCACCAATTCCCTGAGAGGGGGAAAATAAATTTGCTTGTCTCTCCACTGACTGTAGAAATTAATTGCTGAAATCTTGTCCCATCCAAGTGTTACATTCACACGCAGGACATTAACATAACTAATTTGAAAGAGCTCAAATGACTGCATAATGGAGCTCCGTCACCATGCATGACAGTCGCTGGTCATACCAAATTAGCTTGGCTTTATAATTGAAAAATTTCCCCCTCCTTTCTTATTTTTACATCATCTTCCCTCCACTTTTTACACATACTTTTTCACGTCTTCCTTGCTCCCTGCCCTCCTGTCGTATCTTTCCTTCTTGTTCAGTTTTCCTGATAAGAACAAAGGTTTTATAATTTACAAAAAGAGTGCTTGACCTATAATTAGAGAAGAGGAGTGAGGGGAGAGGAGGGGGAGTACCAAGTGGTGGCGGCAGAGTCAGATCCTTAGTCCTGGTAATGATGCTGGAGACCTTGTGGCCCCCAGGGAGGCAGAAGAATAATGGGATGGGCTATTTTTATGGGGGAGCAAAGCAATGGGCCACCAGCCGCTGGGATGCCGGTGCCTGCGTATGGTGCCGAGCAGCAGGGGCTAGCAAGGGGCTAGTGGGGGGCAAAGGAGGGTGAATACTCAACCTGCCAGATTGCCCGCTCTCAGCCCAGCCCATCAGTTCTGTTTGTCAGCCTGATGCACCGCTGTCGGCCTCCGTGCCCCCATGCCAGCCACAGACAGAGAGAATGTATGTGTGGGTGGCTGGGTGGGTTAGGGTGGGGGTGAAAACATCTGCCACTCAGAGGAGAACAGAGGGCTTAAAGATACAAGGTGAGGGACATAAAACAGTAAAGAGATGCATTTTCCTGAGCACGTGTATTAATTATGAAGACCTGGATTTTAATACTACTTTGCAAAGACATTTTTTAGCCTTTGAAACGGGTTGGAAGAAGCGCTCTGCATATGTAAGGATCAGACTGAAACTGTTAAACTAACCAAATAATCAACTTTTATAATCTAAAGTTTTTCTGTTTTCTAAAACTAAAACACTTTTTAGTGTTGTTTACTGTTTGACCCAAACCTGGTGATAACAGATATCTTTAATAATGCGCCTGTGTGCCGAACAACACAGCAGACCTACAGCTGCCAATATTTTTTTGTGCTTCGGTTCAACATACTCTAACCACTGCTATTTATCATACTCCCACGTTACAATTCTCAAGAGTTGGAGTAGCAAAAGAAACAAAAACAGAAAAACAAAAAGTACGAGAAGAAAAGGATACAATAAAACACAAAACTGCAAAATAAAATAGGCGCAGTCTTTATTCCCATTGCATTTTCACTCTCATCTTTATTTCATTATTCCACTAAGAATTCTTATCCCGGCTAAAAGTAAAGCTCGACTGTTTTTATAGATATTTTTTTAAATACGTAAAAAGTTAAAGCTCTTCTGTAAACCCACAGACACTCAAGTGAAATATAGTTGATAAATTATGCTTAAAGTTTCTGTATTGTTTTTGAAACTTGTAAGTAATAGATCCAGCAGTACAATACATGATAGTATATCATATATAAGATGGGAAATGACAGACCGGGCCACAGGTCTAACACAGGCAACCAGTCAAAATGATATATTTAGAATAAATTACAAGTTAACCGAACGAGCACATCTGTGGTAGAAAACCGAGGAGATTTCGAACTCATATATACATATGTCTGTATAACCATATACAATATCCTTTGTAGCTAGGATTAATGTAAAAACTAATATCATTTGTGGAGAAAAAAAGTGAGGTGAGACAAACAAATAATTAGTTTTAGGTGTTTTAACATTTTATGATACGTTTTGTAACATCACAATGTTAAAACTGCCATAATCCTAATATTCTCTCAAAACTAATATTTTACACTGGTGTTCAAAAAAGTGAAATATCCATTTACCGTCTTCTGCCACTTATCCAATTCAGGGCTGCACAGGCTGAAACCTATCCTAGGGCCAGAGACAGGACACAGCCAGGATAGGTGCAGTCCAGCTTTTGTCGCAGAAACCTGGATCAGCCAATGAAAATCTGTTCCCAAAATTTAGAGTCTGAAATGCATAACATTATTGCATGTATGTGATGATTCATAAGATGAAATCAGCTGATACTATACTTCTAGCTACATGAGTATGCTCTGCAAGAGAGTAATCCGTTGCTTCCATGAGCATGTAAAGTTTTGGCAACAAACTTACACATCTTGCAGTCAGAAAGTTCAGAAACTGTTATTGTTGCACACACACTGACCTAACCTGCGTGTCGAGGATCATTGCTGATGATGAGCTTGCTCTCAGAAACTAAAGAGCAGTCTTGACTGGAAGAGTCTGCAGTCTCTGCCATGAGAACTTGTCAGAAGCACGAGCAAGAGCATCATTTTCTTTGACATTCATAGGATTGTGCACTGTGAGTTTGTCCTCCAGGCTGTCAAAGCTGAGTTACACTGCAACATCTTAAAGCGTCTTAGGGAGAACATTCGCTACACACAACCTGAACTGTGGTGCATGTCAATAATAGCCTGCCAAAATGGCACGTTTTAATTCGTACACACATATTTTTCTATACTGCCATGTTAAATGTAACCCGTTTACACAAACGCATAATTGAATTTTAAAATTAGACACGTAAAAGACAAAAACATATATAATGTATGTAAATGTAAATATTAATATACATATTAAAAATGTCTTCATAATAGTGACATTTCTAAGGCGAGTGGCTTTCCACCATAATGTATGAGCGAATGGTTAAATTACAGTATTTGTGTATTTAATGTAAATGATAAAACATTATATTATTATGGAACATATGCAGAAAACAATAAAAAAAACCCATCATGCTTCATGTTTACTAGACTCATAATTGCTACAGTTATATTTTATAAAAAAAGAATGAGAGTCTAAATAAAAGATGCTGTTTGAGGCAAAGGGAAATTCTCTTCTTTTAATTTTATGTATTGTTAAAACATGGTGGTTTAATTAATTTCATTTAATTAATTTTGTTTATATTATTAATGTGAACACTGAAAATGTACATAGACCAGTATTGAGCAACACTTCATAAATATTGTGGTTGGTCCATTGAGCAGTATGTCCTGAATCTAGCTAGAGGAGGTAATTTCACATGAATTATTACCTAATGCACTTGAAAGGTTATAAAATGTCTGCATATTAAAAGTGCAGTTTATTTCTGCTGCCCAACTTGAATATAAAGTTACAGTCTATTTGTTGATTGCTTGATCTTAGTTTGTAGCAAACCAGCCAAAGTAGTGGAGCAGTTCTGCATTGTATGCTAGAGTAGCACATGAACATGCAGATGACTGCATAAATGATGATGTACATAATCATATTTGCAGCTAATTTCTGTAAACACATATCTGAATATTCAAAATCAGAATCTAGAAACTGGAAGCTTTATAGGTTAATACTTTGGATTGGTTTTGGGTGTGGGTGTACAGTTTGGAGTGGAGTGAAACTGAGGAACACAACTTTAAAAAAAAAAAAAAAAGTATCTAAATTCTAAACAGTGAGAGGCTCATGGAATAGGTAGTCAGTTATCCTTTATCCAGAAATCTGCTGGCCAAAACACTGTCTGTCACCTCCAGAGGTTAAGTCAACAGATCTTCGCCAATTGTTTAATGCGATTGACTAGTAGAAAACTTTGATTTGTAAATGTGTACTATATTCTGCAGAAAATCTACCCATAGTCTGAAGATGTAGTATATTAACATCAATCAAAGTAAAGAAAAGTGTGTGCTCTACAGTTGTTTGATTAGAAACTGGTTAATTAGGGACAATATCTATGTATCAGTGCAGCGTAGGTGCACAATAGGTGTCGTATTCTGGAAAAAGGAGCAATCCCTCAAATGTTTTGAACATTTTCCTCAAAGTTTCCCAAGTGATATTTCACTTTTCATGTTATTTTCTTTTTTTCCCCACATTTGCCTGTGACTCTTTCATACAACCCGATCCTTAAAATGCCAAGGGTCACGTGTCAAACATATGCAGCACGGATTGCAATTTATTACCCCACATTTGCCTGATAATTTTTCTCTTTTGACAAGCTTAGGTAAATCATAAAGCCTACTCTATAATGTATGAGGGCTCCGCTGGCTTGATGAGTAAAGTCTGTTGCTATTGGCTGTTACCCCTGTGGTGTTTGAGTTCCCATAAGACCAATAAGACTTGTCTGTATTCTAGCGTGACTTGAATCACTGCAGGAACAGGTAAGGTCCAGGTATTTATAGTAACTATATGCAAATGGATGAGTGCCATGTTGGACTCTTAGTGCAGAGGTGACAGTTAAATACATGTACATAGAAGGAGAAATATATAGGCTTCGCCCTCTCTTTGAGACAAGTCTAATCAGTTAGGATTGCCTCCTCTCCTCATTTCATTTGAATATATTCAGCTTGGACTTATTCTAAGGAAGTGTCTCCCATGTATATTATTCCTTCCTGCTGAAGGCTCATTATTTTACAGCAGGGTGTGTGAGAGGCGGCCCCAGTCTCTGAACTCTCTGTCGAGGCTGTATTAATCAAACTTCACGCAGCGGGAAAGGGTCCACCCGCTGACATGGCACTGCTCACTCTACACTTGAGGACAAAAGGGAAAACACACAACCTGAGCCATTACTGTGAAACATCTGCAGCTTTTAAGCATTTCCACTTGTCATTATTTCAACAGCAGTAACCACATGCGAGTCCAAAGATTGTCTCAAAGAATTTGAAACGACCGTTGACGCGTTTCGGCCGACATGTCATATAATAACATTGTCCTCTTCTTCCTTTTCACTACAGTGGATAACAAGATCTTTGCATGGGGAAATGGCACCAGTGGACAGTAAGTAAATGTCAGAAGTAACGTTATCTGTCTTGCTTTCATGGTGTGTGAAGGATGAGGATGAGTAGTGATACTTTGGGGAACTACTCAGCTGTCTGTGAAGCTATCAGTTTGTTCTGCCCACTGGCCATTCAAACGTCTTATTGTTTTCTGTCGGTGTACTGTATGGTTGTATATTAATCGGACGAAAGAGGCTAGCTGACAGACAAACAAACTCAGACATAGTTATAAACAAACAGAAGTTGTTTATCTTTTGATGAGCTTCCTTGTTAAAACTTCTCCAGCCAGGAGCCAGTCTGGCTCTAATGACATTTAAGGGCATGGGGACTACAGTGATTCAGTGGCCCTCAAGTACTCAAACAGCTGCATGGCAGACCTCAGAGAAATACATAAAAGGAACAAAGGCATCACTTCTCACTCTCTCATCATTTCCCATTGTCCCTTAGTCTCCTTCTCTCAATCTCCATTTCTCTGTCTGCGGTTCTCTCTCTACTGATGATGCTTTGACCTGTCTAAGCAGGTCGGGGCTCTCTAGTGGGGCGCTTATAGTTGGAGGAGCCTATAGTTGGAGTTCTGCAACACCCACTTGCAGAGCAAAGGGTGAGCATCTGTGTTACACAACTGGCACTCTGATATCTGAAAATTCCTCAGCTCTCCTGTGTGTCTCACTGGAGGCGAGAGAGGAGAAGAGTACGAGGGAGCTGTGTAAATTTAAACTGGCAAACTTTCTGATGGAAATAGCTGTGACCCCAGAGTGGTCTTGTCTTGAGTTGAAGCATTGTTGTAATCAATACAGGCTCTCGTGGGGATGACGGGCGAGGACCTTTCGTTCCCCGTTTGTGGAAATAATGGAGAAGACTGTTTGTTATTTTTCCCAGACATGCCGCAAACTAGCAGATATGGCCGGGGCATTGCAGGTTATGACGCTGGCTCAGGGAAACAAATACAAAGAGGAGCATTTTATCAAGAAGCAAACAGCAGAGCTCCGTTTGAAGCTGCTGGGAGCTCATAGGTCACAGGGGTGCTGGGGCTGCGTTTGACCAGCTCATCTTGAAACAGGGGCTTGGATGTTCTTTGTTCACTCGCACTAGGCATGCAGAAGCAGAAACAAGTCTCGGCTCTGGCCTGTGTAAAGTCATTTGTGCAGCTTCAAATTAAGTTGGGTTCAGTGACTTCCCCGGAATGTAAAACTGACCTCACTGAAACATGCTTATTAGGCGACTCTTGTTTGGTTAGAAGAAAAATAGCACAAAGGTAAAATTATAGTATCATTGTAGTAGTGCAAGTAAAAGCGATTTCTGGTGGTGTCCTTTGTTATGTTGCAATAAAATAGAAAGCACAAGGCAAAAACAGTGTTAAAGAAAATAAACTTTTAAAGTGTAAACAGCAGAATATAAAGAATATTGAATGATTGCAGAAGAAGAAAAAGCCTAAAGGTATTTTCTGTCTGATTTTTTTTTTTTTTCTAGGCTGGGTAATGGAGAGAGGGCAGTAAAAAAACAGCCAGTCGAAGTCAAATTGCCACAGGAACTAAACGTCAGAGGAAGTCACCTAGATGGGAATATTGCCAATGTAGTTGGCATAGCCTGTGGAAGCCGACACTCCTTCATATGGACCGAAACTGGGCAGGTCTACAGTTTTGGGAACAACTTTTATGCTCAGCTAGGCTATGACTTCCAGAGGGCTGACTTCAAAGAGAACCAGGTATGAAGATTATGGTTTCTTTACAGTTATGCACAAATCGTTACCCAATCCATCACTACTCCCAGTGGCTTCTGATTATCTTAAAGTTTTTTGGGTCATATTTACATAAACGCAATATAGAAAAATGAAGAGCCGGGAAAGAAGGTTTAGGCTAACACAGCTAGGAATGTTGTGAAGCCTATTGGGCAAAAATCTACTAAGTATTGAGAGGAAGAGTTTCAATTCAGAAAGAGGTTCACAGTGTTTGTGTAATTGCTCTCACTGATGGAAGAGGGAGACAAAATTTACACACTGCAGATGCAAAATTAATATGATTTTTTAATGACCCCTTTAAACATCCACACAGTCTCTTAGCTATAATATTAGTTTTTAATTCACTGTTGGGAGTAGGGGCATGTCTACGTGATGGATACCTCAAGAGCCTGGATAGCTTCTTGTTAGTTGCCTCTCAAGCTTTGTCCTTACGTGGCTTACTATACAGTAGCATGCTGCTGAACCACACAAATCCTAAATTAAGTGCTGTGGAATTGAAATTGGCTCTCTTGTGAAGTGTTCCACTTGCATTGGAGCTTAATTTTGCCTACTCATATCATTTGATTCAGTCCCTCAGTCCCTCTTTTGCTCGCTGCAGCCCATCGCTCCCTCTTCCTTCTCATGCAAAATAAGCCCATTTACCACAATGTGGCAGTGTCTAGGTGAATGATTGCCACTCAGCACTTGATATATGGGTATGTGCTGCTGTGTGCATGTGTGCTGGATATATTATATTTCCAACAGATTCTCCCAGTATTTTGCAACAACATTAGTGCGTTATACACCATGTGAAGCTTTTTAGGCTCGTTTTCGTAATGAGTGGATTTAAAAATAGATTAATATGTTTGTACTTCATTCTACTCTATTACTTGGCCCAAATATTGTTGCCTGTTTTGTCATTACTGAAAGGCCGGCTTTTACAGTCAGTTGTTTAAGACAAACATCCAATAGAGAGGCCTTTCAGTTCATATGAGACAGGCCTCATACATGAGGGCAAAAAGTAGCCAGCCACCAAGCAGTGTGTCAAGGTTCATGGGCTTACGCTCTTACCTGTTCTCAATGACAAAGGCCATTTGGATCTGCATGACTGCTCCCACTTCTAAAATCTTGCTACTAAAGAAAAAACATGGGCCCCAGTGGCCTGGGTGACTATCCCAGACTTATATGTTCATCTCTCTAGGCTTACTTGTGGCCTCTGATTGCCTCGGGTGGAGACCCAAACCTGGCCCTGTCCGTTACCACCCAGCTCCCACTTCTTTCATCCCTTTGCCTTTCTGTATACACTCTCCTTCTGAAGGACCAGACAGGCTGCTCCATCTCCAGCTGTCCTCCAGTCTCCTGACTATATGATACTGGCTATTGTTGTAAAGAATCTATAGGCTGGAACTGCCTGCTTCACCCCGAAGGCTCAGTTTCTCCTTTTTGTCTGAAATGGAGTGGTAGCAAAGTGCAGAGATCTAAGAAACACTATATTCTGTTCTTTATTGGCCCAGTGATAAGGTATTGGGATTCCGCTCACACCTGCGAGCCCTTTGTTCAGGCCCGCTATGGCATTTCACCTGCACCAGACAAGGTTAGACAGATCGCCTATTTAATGGTTTGATTGACATTATTTTAATGTAACACCGTGGGGAGCGATACGTCTTTGAACAGAAAAGAAAGTTAATCTTATATTTCTCCAGGACCCCCCCATTAGAACAATGACATTGTCATTTTCTTGGGATTTTGTTTGCAGATAGGACATTCTGAGGTGCCTTATATAATACATTATAATAAAAACTTGCAGTAGGTATTGTGGTAGCTTTTTTTTTAGTATCAAGCCTGCATCATATACCATACATCTACTTCTTTTTTTCCATTTATTGATTTTTTCTCCCTCTGAACACTGCATAGCTTAGTTTCTAAGTAGGCTAACACCTTCTAGCTGAAAATGTACCAGTGCATTTCTACAAAAGTAAGCAAAAAGCGACCAGGGGAGCAAGAAAATAAACTCTGTTCCTAAGTGTGACACGTGTGCAGCTTGAGCTTGGCATGGCATCCGTGTTCAGCCTGGCTGCGCACAACTTGTTTGAATGTCATATTTATCCCTGTGTTTTGTCAGAAAATTAACTTCCTGTGAGTTTGCGGCAGAGCCGAGCATATGGCCACAGCTCTCTGGAGATGACAGCCTAGCGGAGCGGGAGCTCGCCGGTGCCGCTGCCCTGCTCTGGCGGCAGATGCTCCGGGCTTCTCCGCGATTAAGTGGAGATCATCACTGTTTTCTTTGAGCACCGCTGTGCCTTGTACTCTGAAGTGTTCAGTTAATCACTGCCTGCCTCCCTGCCTTTTCCACGCAAGCTGCCAAAGCACTCATTAAGTTTGAATCTCCCTCTTACTGCTCGCTTGCTCACCGGCTCGATATATTTTGTGACTGAATCTTAGCAGTCACCCTTTCTGAGGGTTTGTTGCACCTGTTTGCATGAAGGATTGTACAAAGGCAGTATTTTTTTGTTTGAGTACTGTATGTGATTCCATCTCTAGCCATGGTTCATTTGTTGTGCATCTTGTGTATATAAGAAAAAGCCACTCTATAAGTTACCGAATGTTTCCTTTAGCTTGTGAATACCGATGTGCTCTGTTTTTCCCCAAGTGCCAAAATACTTCCTTCACAGGCCTCTGAGGGAAGTGAAGTCTGTTCCACAGTTGTGTTTTTTCTCATTGAGAAACACTGATAGTCACATTTATAGCTGTAAAACACGACTCTGTTATCCACTGAGTATGTTGAATATATAGAATCAGAGCGCAGGTATAATGTAAGTCATAACATTAAAATAAAATTTTAAAAAATGAGCATTTGCTAACTCCCACCGCCTCCCAGGCCAAGTATCTCACATCCAGTTGTGTTGCATCTCCTACACAAACAGCCATGCATTGTTATTGTGAAACATTGTGACACGCTTTAACCCTGATTGATCTTGATCTCCGACACAAATAATAATGTGATTACAGGCTTTTCTCTGCCTCTGTCTTCGCTGCAGTGGAAAATAACATTAGGACTATCCTTTCATGTTAATCGCCTTGGTTGGAAGTATACCTCAGTGCACCAATAGGCCTCAGTAATGCCTCCTTTCTTCTAAAAAAACCCATCCAAAATAACCTATTTGCAGCACACCCACACACACGTTGCTTAGCTCTGTAACACTGTTATTCTGCACCAATCAAAGCCTGGCTTGCTTGTCCTGGTGCGGTGATCATTCCCCCCACAATAGCGGGATGGCATTACTGCGCTTTTGAAAGCATTTGCATGGCAAAGCAATAACATGCACCTTGTAAATAAAGGAATTGATCCTGTTCATCTCAGGTTGGATTTCCTGGATAAAGCTGTGGAAAATGGATCCCTGTATCGTATCGCGTCAATATACACACTCCGTTTCCTCATCCTCAAGTTTACTCTGCAGTAGGAATCTTCTTCTTAATCTCGTCTGTCAGGCTGTCAGGCAGACACAGAGAAATGTTTGCGATTCCCTCTGCTACACTGGTTACTTGGCAGACAGCTGATTAGTGCCAGTTTGCCTCGTTCCCAGTATGCAGATACCCAGATAGAAAGCTGGCCCCATTCATTGAGTCCAAGTACCAAAATAGCAATTGCTGTTCTCAATCAACTATGAAGAAATGGGTTTGCATTGTTGGAAGAGGTTGATTTGAGACTTTTTGAAGAGGCTCTTGAAATTACTTTCAAATCAGCCCGAGCTGACAGACAGCTGGTCGAGCATCATGCTGTTGTGTGCGGTCAGCAATAAAGAATAATGTTGTTTTTTCTTTTCTTTCTTTTCTTTTTTTAAAATCATAACTCATACTATATGAGCATTACGCCTTTGCACCCTCTGGGCCCGCGCATTGTTATTCGTCACAATAGACGTTTATCTCCTCTACTTGGATTTAAATGTATTCACAACTGTACAAATTGCCACTGTGCTCTTGGCAAGGTACAACTAATTTTTAGACGAGGAAATTCCTTGTCAGGAGCAGCCAAGGGAGAAGGTGTCAGATTGATACCAGAAGTACACTAACGGCTGTGCGGGAGCATAAGCGTTTGCTGCGCTTCGGTGGCGGTGCGTTTGATTTCAACACTGACCACCAGTGATGCCAACCCTGTAGTCCTTATATGAGCTGCCTCTTGAGACATAAACATAGACAGCCCTCCCCCACATCTCACTCAAACTGATGCTGCTGAAGTAAAGAGACAGAGAGAGGAAGAAAGTGAGACACTGCCAGACAATAAAGCCGTTGTAGAGTATATACTTTACTTGCTTGCCTATTGTTACACTGCGGTAAGTGGGAACTCAGTGTGGGTGTACAGTGACCTCAGCTACTCTACCCATCTCCCCTAGGAGGACCTCAAAGGGCACTCGTTCAGTTCCTTATTGCACGCCCTGGGCTTTGCTGCAAAATGAGAGACAACAAAGAAAAAAGAAAAAAGAAAAAGAAAGGGAACCGAGGGAGGTAGTCTCAACTTTACAGGAAGGCTAACCTGTGCCTTTGGAAATCCTGCATCTTTTTAAAAGTGTCTATCTTCCTGACTCTTAACGGTATCTGACAGAGTTTTTCGGGGCTGGAAGTGCTCAGTGTGACGACTTCTGTTGCACTCTGGAAATATTCTTTTTACCATAAGATGTTATGCAAAGCTTACCCTTAAAATGTGTATTGTTTTCTCAGTGTGAATGAGAGGATATGGTGTTTGTGACCTTGTTTCAGTTTGAATCATGTGCCCCGCTGTTTCCCCAATATGCCCCTAGTGTATGTAATGCTGAAAGCACATTTAGTATCAATAATTCTGTACATTTCCTTCTGGAAAACTAATTCTCATAATAGGATTTTGTCAATGTGATTTGAATAATGATCTCAAAACATCCCATTTTAGGCTACTTAACTAAATAGAATATTACTGATTGCAATACTTATCCATGGTAGGGGTTTTGGTAACCTTC